GCGGATAGACACTGTCATCTCCCCAAGGCTAAGCCGGAAGCCCTCAACGCTCCACCGCCGTCTGCATGGGGACTTTCCACCTCTCACAGCGAGGGGGGGCGGTGAGGGAGAGAGGACCTTGCGCCGAAGACGTGCGAGAATGTTGAGGCCGGGGTTGACTGTGCCCGTCTCGACACGGCTGAGGTGCTTGCGCGCCGCGCGGCACTGGATCGCCGTGAGCACCAGGTCCGACTTGAGCTGCTGCACCTGCGCCATCCCGTGCACAAATGCGCCGTACGAACGCATCACGCGCGCCGATAACTTCGAGTTGATCTCCTCGAGCACGTCTTGCGTCTGGTCGAGCTGCGCCGCGAGGTAGCTCTCGCCGAGCCCCTCTTCGGGCAGGCACTGCAGCATATGCCCCACCGCATCAAAGTCCTCGAGAGGCAGAAAGTACTCCTGCAGACGGTGGCGGAGCGTGCGGGTCGGCGGGCGAGCGCAGCGAGGCGGGAGGCGGCCCGCGCAATCGACAGTGACACGGCAGCGGGCGAGAGGAATGTGCACACCGGCGGCAGTCCCGCCAGGCGCTCGCTCTCCGGCTGCGGAGGTGAGCTGTGGCTGCTGCTCGACGCCATCGATGTGCACCAACGTTCAGAAGCAAGAAAAAATCCGGGAATTTTTTTTCCTCCCACTCTCCCGCGCCCCTGTCGTCATGCGGGGCGATGATCTCATAGTGGCCGAGATTCCGTGCGGCAGCGGCGGCCACTCATCGGTCACGCTCATCGCTCGCAGCGAGTCGACAAGCGCGCCTCTCGCTATCCTCTCTCCACCAAGTGGCGTCGCAGCGGCGGCGCACGACCGGCTCCTAAAGGAGCTGTGGGCCTCCGTGCCAGACTCGTCCGTATCAGGAGGCCGCGGCGCGTGCTTCCGGCTGCACGCCGACCCGGGCGGCGACGCGTGCGACGGTGACTTCTTCTCGCCCGCGCAACACGAGCGGCTGCTCTCCTTTGTCCGCGAGCGCGTGTTTGACGCGTGGCGCTCGGTGACGCCGGAGCTGCGCTCGTTGGCGGGCTCGTTCGAGCTCTTCAACCCGGCGCTCGGCGCAAACATGGGCTGGCACCAAGATGGCCACGCGGCAGGGGAGCTCGTGGCGCACTACTACCTGGCCGCCGACGACGAGGACATGGCGTGGGCAGAGGTGGCGCTGCCTCCCGCGCCGCCGTCCGAGGGCGAGGCGGAGGCTCCCGGCTTTGACTTCTCCTGCGCCGTCGACTTCGGCTCGAGCGACGAGCTGTCTCGCGGCGTGGCCGCCTCCAACTTCGTCGCGGTCGGCTGCGGCGCAGACACAGCGGCGCAGCCAATCTGCGTCTTTGAGGACTCCGCCGTGCTTCACCGCACCCCGCTCACCGCCGCGGGCAAGCCGCAGCTCCAGTCACGCCGGCCGATGGCGCGCCTCGTCTTTTACGGGACGGACGCCGACGGCGCCACCCTCCGCTTCCCGCCGCCGCATTCCGCGCCGCAGGCGCTCCGCGCGGCGGCGCCCCGCTTGCCGGAAGGGCTGGTGCGCGTGCTCTGCGAATTTGGGATGAAGAAACGAGGGTGGACGGGCAAGAGTCGTGGACCGGCTGCCGAAACGCGCCTGCGTTACGAAGCACTGATGGAGCCTTACGCGGGGCGCTACTTTTCGGAGGCGCTCTGTTCGTATGTGGCGGGAGGGGAGGAGGCCGTGGCGTTTGTGGGCGCCCGGGCGGCGGCGTTGGCGGCAGAGCTGGAGGCGGAGGCGGAGGCGGAGGCGGAGGCGGAGGCGGAGGCGGAGAAGCTTAAGGCGGCGAGGGTGGCGGCAGGCTGGGTATCGTCGTCGGAGGAGGGGGAGGAGGAGGGGGAGGAGGAGGAGAGGGGGGTAGGGGCGTCCGACAGCCTCGCGCAGCTTGCGGGCTACGTGGATCGGCTGGGCGAGGTGTGCCCTTGGACGGCGAGGCAGCGCGCTGCGGACCTGCTCTTCCACACCCGGAAGGAGCTGCTCGAGGTGGAGGGAGATGGCCCGAGACCCGAGATGGCCTGAGATGGCCCGAGATTGCCCGAGATTGCACACGGAGCGAGTGTGCTGCGGACCCGCCTCTTCCCCACCTCTCTCTTCACAGCTCCTTCTCTCTCTTCACAGCGACCTCCTTCCCTCTTCACAGGTGGAGGAGGTGCTGCGGGCGAAAGAGATCGACGAGTCCGCTCTCTGCTCCGAGTGGGGGAGCTAGATGCGGAGAATAAGGTACCCCTGCCACACCCCTACCATGCACTCCAGCTCTCGAGAAGAGACGCGACGTGCCGCCGTGCCCCCACACACACAAGAAAGGGAGCCGTGCACAGGCTGGGGGACGTGCTCTTCGATGTGCTGCTCCTCATTCGAGTCGCCGCGAGGGACCTCTCCCCCGCGGCCGTGAGCCTCGAGGCGTGCGCCGCCGCGGCCTGCGCAAAGCTGAGGCGGAGGGCGCCCTACGTTAGCGGAGCAGCAGTCCCCGCGTCGCCCGAGGAGGCGGAGGCGTGGTGGCAGCGCACCAAGGAGGCGGAGAAAGCGGAGGCGGCGAAGGGGGAGGAGCCGCCGCCGCCGCCGCCGCCGCCGCCGCCGCCGCCGCCGCCGCCGCCGCCGCCGCCGCCGCCCACGCCGCCCCGCCCGCGGCCGCCGCTGGCCGGGCCGGAAGCGGCGGCGTTGGCCCGTGTGGCCCCGGCTGCTCTCGCACGACGGGAGACGGAGGTCTCGGCCGAGGGGGGCGAGGGGCCGAAGGCAGCTCCGGCCGTCTCGGGGGCCGCGAGTCCCCTCGACGGCGACGGCGAGTCGGACACCGGCTCGCTGCTCGGGATGAGCGACTGGGAGCGGGACCTCGCCCGGCAGTCCGACTCGGACGAGGAGGACTAGTTGTGTGCAGTCCTTTCCTCCGAGCAGGTAATTAAAAGCTCTTCACACACACGAACTCAAGATGCTAGCAAACGGATGCGGCGGGGGTGGGCGGGCTGGCGTAGCGACCGCGCCCGCCGAGGGGCGGAGAAGCGGGCCGAGGCCGAGGAGGAGGAGAAGGAGTCCGAGAATGACTGGGCACGGGGCAGCTGACCGTTTATTCAGGATTGGCGCCGGCTCCTTTTCCGACACCCTGGGTGGCGGCAGCTGCTCAAACATTGGCGGCGGCGGTTCCGGCGACGGGAGAGAATGTGCCGCGAGGTCCGACTGTGGCGAAGGAACGGGCGTAGTCGGCGACGCCGGCGCAACGGCGGGCGAGGCCACCGCAGAGACAATCTCCTTCGCTTCTCTCGAATCGGTGTCGTCAATCAATGCCTCCAGCTTCAACGTCTCGGCGGCAGAAGCCGCAGATGACTCAATCAGCGCCGCGAGGTGTTCGCGCTGGCTTCCCGCGAGCATCGAGCAGCTGTTGAGCGCTGTCAGAGCGGTGTTTCGATATCGTTCAAAGCTTTCAGTTCGAGAGCGTCGTGTAAAGGGGGAGAATATGTGGAACATGCACAATCCTCAGGGCGAGGCGCGACGTTCAGTCTTGTTCACGACATTTCATGACTAGGGGAGACAGGACGTAGGACGATTGGGATTTCTTAGTGGACACTGAGCCCTCACCCGCTCCCCGCCTCTCCGTCCGCCGCCGCGAGCTCGAGCAGGCGCACCAGCCCGTCCGCGTACTCGTCCGCCGCCGCGTCGCTCCAGATGGGGGTCGGGTAGCTCACCTAATCTCCAGATCACCCGAGATCACCTGAGGTCACCCGAGATCCTCCGGGGTGGGTGTCGGGGCAGCTCACGGTGAGGCAGAGCGTGCCGCCGACCGTCGCGGCGGAGGTGGAGATGGCGGGCGAGGAGACGGACTGCGAGATGCCGAAGTGGAGCCGCTCGAGAGTGAGGTCGCCGTGCGCCGTCGCGTGCGCGAACCTAATGGGCCATCTCGGGTCATCTCGAGTGATCTCCAGCCGGGGGGGGCCGCCGTGTGCGCCGTCGCGTGCGCGCACCGGCCCACGTTCGACACGCCGGCGGAGTAGGCGCGGCCGAGGGTGGTGCGGTCCTGCGACCCGAGCTCGAGATGACCGTCACCCGAGATTACCCGAGATCACCCGAGATCGCCCGAGATCGCCCGAGATCGCCCGAGGTTGCCCGAGGTCGCCCGAGGTCGCCCGAGATCGCCCGAGGTTGCCCGAGGTTGCACGAGGTTGCAAGAGGTTGCAAGAGGGTGCGGTCCTGCGCCCCGAGCTCGACCACGCGGTTCATGTTCATGAACTCCCAACCGCACGAGAAGAGGAGGAGCGACTCGCGGCCCCAGCCTACACATGCACACTCCATAGTATGAATAGCATGTAGTGGACGTT